ATCATGTCCAGCATCTGTTGTCTCCTGATTTTTTAATGATTGCCATTCTAGCTGGCATGGGATGGTATCTCAATGTAGCTTTAATTTGCATTTCTCTAATGACCAGTGATGATGAGCTTTTATTGCTTTTATTCATATGTTCATTGGCTGCCTAAATGTCTTCTTTTGAGAAGTGTCTGTTCATACCCTTTGCCCACTTTTTGATGGGATTGTTTGTTTTTTCTTGCAAATTTAAATTCTTTGTAGATTCTGGATATTAGCTCTTTGTCAGATGGGTAAACTTGATATAGATCAATAAAAAGTATCCAAAATGAAATGTGAAGAGACAAAAATAAACACACACACACATGCATGCATACGCACATGTGTCCCCTAATACATTTAAAAATTATAGAGAATATAAAAATGGAATTATGAAAACTATTCAATGAATTCAAAAGAAGGTAGTCATAGGAAAAAGACAATAAAGAACAAATAGCAGAAATGGGAACTAAATATCAAACACATATCCAATAAAAGACCCAAATCCAGCATATCCAGAGAACTCTCAAAACTCACGCAACTCCTCCCTCTTCAAAAAAAGAAATGGGAGAAATTTGAACAGAAACTTCATCAAAGATGATAAATGAATAGCAAGTAGGTAGATGAAAAAACTTCAAATAGCACTAATCATTAAGGAAAGGAAAACTAAAGCCACAAAATAATGTCACTATGCACCTATTAGAATGGCTAAAATTAAAAAGACTGATCAAATCAAGTGTTGGGGTAGAATGTGGAGCAACTGGAACTCACACACATTGAACAGTGGGAATGTTAAATCGTTCTGCCACTTTGGAAAACAGCTTGGCAGTTTTTAAAAGGATAAATATAGCTGCTATATGACTCAGTTGCTGCATGCTTATGTAACTATCCAAGATAAATAAAAGTATGTCTATATAAAGATTTGCACATCAATGTTTATAGCAACTTTGTTTATAATGGCCAGAAAGTGGAAACAACATAAATGTCCATCAATGGGTGAATAGATTAACAGTGTCACAATCCATGACATAAAGAGGAATGAATTCTTGATATACTCAAAAACATGGATAAATCTCAAAATAAATGTTCTGATTATTATTTATATAAATGTATGACACCATTTATATGAAATTCTTAAAATTGCACGCTGATCTATGGTGACAGACAGCAAGTCAGTGTCTACCTTCCAGGTATATCTGACTTCATCTTTTGTGCTTCTCTCCTTTGCTTCCTGGGCTCCAAATAAGTGAACCTCCTTGCTTTTCTTTGAACACATCAAGAATGTGTCTGTCTCAAGGTTTACATGTTTGCTGATCCCTTGTCATGGGAACTGTTTCCCCAGAGAGCTTGTTCCTTACTCCATTCTGGCTTCTCAGCCAATATCACTTTGTCTAATGTGACTCCCAATGCACTCTGCATCCTTATATTTACTAGGTGAGTGTGGGCTGGACCTAGTGACTCACTTGTAGCAAATAGACTACAATAAAGTGATAGGATGTCACCTCCATGATCAGGTTACAAAAAGAGTCTGGCTTCCATGTTTCATGCTCTCTCCCAGCCTTTCTTTTTTAGAACCCTTGTCAATTGCCTTATGGAGAGACCTATGAGGCAAGAAACTGATGGCTCTGATCAAGAGCCAGGTGAGTCCCTGGGGCTTATCACTGGCCAGGTGAATGAGCTTGGAAACAGATCCTTTCCCAATTAAGCCTTGAGATGATTGCAGCCCCAACCCTGATAGCTGACTTGTGAGGAGACTTCCTGATTCGGGGGCACCCAGCTCATCTGCACCTGGATTGCTGACCCATGGAAATAGTGAAGTAATAAATGTTTGTTATTTTAAGCTGCTAAACTTCTGGGTAATTTTTTGTGCAGTTATAGACAACTAATCCAGAGGTATTTCCTAGAAAACCTATGTAAACTACCCCCAGCAACACGTACTATCCCCAGTATTCATTGTCCTTTTACCTTGTTTTTCTTATTCAAGGCACTTTTCATCATCCAAACTATTATATCTTACATATGTGCTAACTTTTGGTCTTTCATTCCCCCAATAAAATGTCAATTCCATGAGAACTGCATCTTATACCTAGGGCCTAAAACACTGCCTGGCCAAATTACCTATATATCCATGACATATTTTACACCTTTATATAAAATTTGAAAAAAGAAGTCTAGACTGTAAGGCAGTCTCTTTTTAGCTAGACATATTCTACATATATTCAGGCCTCAACTCAGGGACAGAGGCCATCACAAAAAACCAGAAGAATGAGAAATTACTTGAGCTACTGTGTTCCCTTTACCCTAGGGTCAGGCAACCATAGTACTAATTCGTCATACATTTAGGAATATTTGGAAAAGAGGAATAGAGAAGAAAACTACCCCTCTGGTCAAGAGAAGCTGTAAGACCCTGATCCAGCCACAGGGTGAAAGTCACAATGGGAACTCATTAGTGAGGGTTTAACTGAGCCATCAGCAAGGCAAGGCTGGAGTGAGGCATCCATAAGAGCCAGGCAAGGGTGGGGTGGAAGCTGCTCCAGAACTGGGACAGGGCAGAGGCCGAACCTGGCTGTTGGTTGAGCCACAGCTTCAGGAACCAGCAGCAGACAGAGAGAGAAAAACCCCATGGAAGGTCCTTTTCTACCAGAGCCAGAGTACAGGTCAAGGCCAGAGCGGAAGGCTGGGAATCAGCCATTTTCTCATAGATTGTAGGATGAGTAAGAGCAGAAGGTACACGTGAGATGACATAAGAAGTCTCCACGAAGCTGTGACAACAGATGGGTCAGCACACGTGGAAAGTGTTCATTCAAATTACATTGTGTTAGCTGGGCATGGTGATGCACAGCTGTAATTCCAGCTACTCTGGAGGCTGAGGCAGGAGAATCGCTTGAACCAGGGAGGCGAAGTTGCAGTGAGCTGAGATTGCACCACTGCACTCCAGCCTGGGCAACAGAGTGAGTGAGACTGTCTCAAAAAGACACAACAAAACAAAACAAAGTACATTGTGGGATCAATGGTTTTGTGAGCAAGCTGGAAACCTAACAACCATTCATGATATGGTTTTTATGTTAAGATGATTTGAGTATTCCAAGCAACTCATGCAAAAGCAGAAATTTTGAAGAATCCTAGATTTGAGTTTACTTGAATTTACAATTTCTGTCAATCGTGGAAGCTGCTGCTATGGCCCACTAGGTGGTAGTATGGTAGTGATTTGCTGGTTAACAGAAAAACGGAAACTAGACTCGAAGCTCAAGCCCCTAGTTTGTTTGGTTTTTTTCTTAACATTTAAAACTTGACAATAGAAAATGTTCATGGAATAACAAGTGAAAAGTCAGAAAGAACTATCATACAAAGACCATTGACATATTAAATAAAACTTTTTTACAAGCAGTTATCGTGGAGCATTTTATAAAAAGTCAAAACAGCAAAGAGTGCCATTCACAGTAAACATAATAAAGTACTTAAGTGATTCTTCTGATAGGTGAATGTTAGACAGATATAGAATAAAGACAATGAGAGAACAGGACAACAGATACTGCTTTCCCAGACCTTGCAAAAGCCAGGCTCCCTGCAGCCTCTATGTTGGGGTTTTCATTCCCCAGATCCCCACTTCCTCTTTAGCAATCCACACTTCAGGCTTCCCTCGAGATGCTCTTTGTAGCGAATCCCTGACAAGTCACATCATTCAATTACCTTTATTCACTCTTTCACTTGTATTTCTCTGAAATTATGGACAAAGGCACACTAATATTTTGCATTGTAACATTATCATTTTTTTTTTTGTATGATGAATGCTTAGACTGTTGCTGTACATGGTTAAGCACCATTCAAGAATTTCCTGTTCAGGCCAGGCATGGTGGCTCATACTTGTAATCCCAGCACTTTGGGAGGCCAAGGCAGGAGGATCACTTGAGGCCAGGAGTTCAAGACCAGCCTGGCCAACATGGCAACACCCCATCTCTACTAAAAATGCAAAAATTGATTGGGCATGGTGGCTTGTGCCTTTAATCCCAGCTACTCGGCAGGCTGAAGCAGGAGGATCGCTTGAACCTGGGAGGAGGAGGTGGCAGTGAGCTGAGATTGCGATGCTGCACTCCAGCCTGGGCAACAGAGGGAGAAAAAGAAAGAAAGTGAGAAAGAGAGAAAGAAGGAAGGATGGAAGGAATGAGAAAGAAAGAGAAAGAAGGAAGGAAGGAAGGAAGGAAAGAAGGAAAGAAAGAAAAGAAAGAAAGAAAGAATTTCCAGTCCAACCAGTTTCTAAGGGAAAAGGGAAGAAAATGTGCCTTCTGGTTCCCTTTCATTAGTGCCTTTGAAGTGCTGGATATGCAGCATATGCTCAATAAATATTTAAACCAATGAATGAATAAATAAATGGCTCAATATGATGGGGTGCATGGAAGGCACAAGGGATGAATGAATAAATACACTCTGGCATTTAACATCTTGGAACTTTTAAAAATAACATATCAATCTTGCATGATTAAAAATAGAACATTTTAAGTGTAAATAAACCTTCAAAATGTCTTAACATTTTACATAGAGCAAATTACTGTTAATAATTTACAAAGTTTAGAAACTTTAGTTTAGAACAATTAGTTTAATACCAAAATACTGATCTAGAATAGTAGGCTTTTTTAGTGAGAAGTTACTTTCAAGATAATTAGGTCAACCCTCTTATTTTCAGATTTAAAACGAAAATTTAATTCAGTACTTTTGTTATCCTTTTAAACAGATTGCTGCCCCTATTTGGCAAAAGCCATACATGTGATGAGTATGTTAATTGTGATCAATTTTGCTGTTAAGAAATGTCTGTGAAGTATGTATATGACAGTCTGTATTTTTCATATGGTTGTATGAATTTGTATAATATTAAGGCATAATTATTTTGGGAACTAGCTTTTTTTTACCCTCAAAATATAAAATTTCATTCTTAGATTTTTTCAAATTGTGAAGCACTTTCTGGACTGTTTGTATCAGCTTACCGTGTACTTTCTTTCTCCTTGAAGTTATTTCTCTTTTCCTGAAGAAAGTAGGTTAAAATGCCACTTATTAGGAAAATTATGCTGGGAAGAAGCTGGATGATCTGTTAAATACTTCAAGTGAATTCCTGAATTCGAAAAATCTGAATAATCCTTGAAAACAGCTGAAAGTAAAGTAACAAAAACGACTTTTTAGAGAACATTTGTTTCAATAGAAAATGTTAATTCATTCACAGAACTTGCCCAGATGCAATCGCCTACTGGTCTGGGTCCAGCCTACACACAAGAAGAGATTCTTTCCCGGTGCCTCATACTGTGAGGCTGCAGTTCAATCTTGCCACGGAGTCAGGGGTTCTTGTGTATTATTTTTATTGCTTTAAATTATAAGTTTGTCATTTTAAATTAAACATCTTTTTATTGCCATAAATATATCAGTATCACCTTAAATGAAATACCGCACGTACAATTCAGCTCTGAATAACTGCATCCATTCATAAGAGCTCTATCTAGCAGGTTTTTTGTTTAGCAAAAATCTCATAGTAGTTTTATGTATTTATGTATATGTAGTATATTATTCAGCCTTCTCCAGAGAAAAAGAACCTATATATATATATAGAGAGAGATCTGTAAGAAGGGATGTCTTATGGGAATTGACTCATGATTTTGGAGGCCAAGAAGACCCACGATATGTTGTCTGCAAGCCAGAGAGCTAAGGAAGGTGTGTGAGGACAAAAGACCTGCGAACTTTGTGGGCTGCTGCTGCCAACCCCAGAGTCTGAAGGCTGGAGAGCCTGGAGGTCTGATATCCAAGGACAGGAGACGATGGGTGTCCCAGCTCCCGATGAGACAGAATTCACCTTCTCTCTGCCTCTTTGTTCAGGTTCTCAACAGCTTGGGTGATGCCTGCCCACTTTGGTGAGGGCCATCTTCTTGACTCAGTCTACTAATTCAAATGCTCATCCTTTCTGGAAACATCCTCACAGACACACCCAGACATAATACTTTACCAGCTATCTGGATATCCCTTAAGCCAGTCAAGTTGACACCTAAAATTAACCATCACAGTATGTATGATTTATGTATTTCTTTATATTTTTGGCAAAAGTAAATGCTGAAATTACTCTTTAAATGGTTTGAGTGTTTCCAGTTAGATGTGCCCATTCCCGTACTCATCATCGTCCTCTCCCCCCACAGGAATACTGATTTTAGAGAATGGGCCACATCTAGCTGTTGCCCATCAAGAATCCAGAAGTTGACCTGCCTGGCTTTCACTTACTTATTTTCCAATTCTGTCAGACACCTAATCCTCAATTTTGCCTCCCGTGTATCTCCCTTATGTGACTGCATCTGCCATGTGGACAGGGACTGGGTTGATAAATACAGAGGAATATTGATCATAGTCCTTAAAAGTCAGCAAATATCCGAGGAATGAATAAATGATGAAAATTTATCTAATCTGTCTCCTCCTTTTCACTCTTGCTATCTTGATCCTAGTTTCAGCATTCAGCATCTCTTATCTGGGCGATTGCAGTAGCTTCTAATTTGGAGTTTCTGACTCTATTTTTATATCACCCACCTGCCTTAATTCTAGCTTCATGTTTCTTTACACTTGCCTTTATGTTCTATGCTTAAATAGTATTGAGTTGGTTATGTCTTCTGCCATATACCCTGATATTTCCTGCCCTTATGACTTTACCCAGGATGTTTCTATTGCTAGAAATGCCCGGTCATTTCTTTTTCGTTTGCAAACTCCTGTTCCTTCTCACTGCTGAGCCCATGTGATGTATTTTTTAGTAACTCTTTTCTGAAGTCCCAAATTGTGTTGAATGCCCCCTTTCTTTTGTCCTATTGTACCTTGTGCATTTCCCTAACTGAATACTTGTATCACATTCAATTTTACTGTTCATCCGTCTGGCTTTCCCTTTGTGCTCCTTTCGTGTAGGAATTCTTTCTTAGGCATTGTAGTAATTTTAATGGTGCACAGAAGGCAGTCCATAAATATTTGCACTTGTTTTTTCTTTTTGTGGAATGAACAATTTGGATGCCACAGGAATTTAGGATTGCCATTAATTATGAGTGTGTCTGCCATATTTAGGGCCACTGAGCACAGCTGTACACATTGTGCACTGCACTATTCTGGGCATGGATACTAGTCCCATAGAGGATAATGTGAATGTCTACTCCACCCCTCCAGTTGTAAACTGCACCAATCATCCAGGCACTACCCTGGTGGATATAGACATGATACTGCAGTGAATACCATTTTAAACTGTAAGGAAGTTATATTTTAAATTGTAATTTATTTCAGGTTTTAAAAAATTGCATTTATAAACAAACATTAAACAAATATTTGTTTAAAATATTATATATTTAAATATACATATAATATATTTTTAAAAATAAACAAACAAATAATTCTATTATAATTCCCCTGACACTTTCCGTTTTCATAGGAAAGCATTCGTTTTAGCATGGTATGTTTCTTCCCAGTACGTACCTCATAAGTTATGAAATGCTTTACTTTCCTTTCCTAGACTATATTCTTGTTTCCTTAAATGAATTTAAAACCCCTGGAACATGATGTTTATATAGATGGACAGCTATAAATCAATGAATTTTACTATGAAAAATAAGCATTGCATGTGCCTTTTTTTCATGAAACACATCAGTCAAAATTTGATTAAAAGAAATCAGAGGCTAAAGAAGTTCATTCCAAAGAAAGCTGCAGTAAACAGATACTACTTTTCTCCAGATTCTAGAACTAAACTAAATTGAATTTACTATTAAATATCAAACTTATAGCTTTAAAAAAGACATTCGTTTTTCTCTAGAATATCAGTAAAGCTCTTAAATATTTAGGACTGAAAAACATGAAATTCTATATTTAGTAACTAGCAAATTCTAAATTAATGGATGACAAACCAGACAACTCTTTAAATAAAAGGAATCTAATAAAAATAGCCATTAGACTTATGCATCCAAAGGTATCTAAATTAAAACTGAGTAAATGGTCAACTTGGCGTGAAGCCTGGTTACAGACTTACTAAACCGACAGCTGGCATTTATAATCTCTGTGGAACAGATACTGATATTAATATTTATAATCATATTGAGGGGTGTGTATCTGGCATTATGCTAAATGTAAGACCCTTTTTAACATTTTGTCATTTTAATACTCAGAAGAATTTATAAGGTGGAAGTGGCTACAATGCCCAAATTATGACTAATGAAACATATATGTGAAGAGATCAACAAAGAAAAGGAAGACGTGAATAAAAAATTAATTAAAAAGTAAATATTTTTCAAACCAACCAGGAGAATTAATGAAGCAAACATTGTTTATCTCCAGAATTGAGGTTAAAATATTAAAGTACAGACCAGCCCAGAAGGCTCTAACTCTTTAGGTATGGTCTATTTTACCCCTATCCGTAGCTGCCTGTCTTCTATCTACTTTCTGAGTTTTCCACTGAAGCTGAGATTTAAAATTCACCTGCTGATCTATGCTGCAGATCTCATGTGAGACCTGGAAGTGGACCCATGGGATAATTGACTGATACTCTTTCCACAGTTTCTCCTGGTAAGCCAATCATGTGATAGGACTCATGCTCCAAGTCTGACTCATATTACAGGAACTTCTGGGCCTGGAGCTATGTGCCCTGGACTCTGACATCTGGTTTTGGCCAAACAACAGCCCAGTACTAGCCAATCCTCACTTCCTGATAGGCTGAACTCTGTCTACTACCTAGAGGCACTGGCTAGGTAGTAGTTTAAATTTGAAATTCATTTTTCCCCCACTTCTTTGGGTTAAGATGCTACCACTTACATGCCATCAATGCCCTGGCATTACGAATCCCATAACTCCACCTAAAAGAGTAGCCCTTCTGTATATTCACACTAGGCTATAAGGAAACTGAATCCAAGTTGTCTTGGACTTTGAGGTTTTATTATTAGGTTACTACACATGAGGTCAACCCAAATCAGGTTTGGTCCCCTCAGCCTCTATTCTGCACACTCTCTGTTTACCTCCTCCAGCCCACCATGCTGATACTACTAGGATCAGTTACATCTTAAGACCAAGGCTGTTTAGCCAATTACAAATTCTGAACCTTAGAAAAGTTCTGGTCATCCAAATATAGACCTGGTTTGCTAGAATTCTCCATCCACCTATTATCAACTTTAAGAAATCTCTGGATAAAATATAGAAAATCATTTGGGATCCAAAGTATATAGAGGTAATGTAGAGAAATCTAAGTGGAAAGAAAGCAAGTGTAAGGTTTATGAGTATAAAGTAAAAATGGCAGATTTACCAAGACAAGAGTGTCAGAGGGAAATAAGAATATAAGAGATTGTCTTTAGATGGCCACAGGTAAGAGAGAGAGGGGATCTAGGTGTAGACCAGAGGGGAGGGAGAGAACTAGGAAAAATACTTAATGTATGCAGGGCTCAAAATCTAGATGGCAGGTTGATGGCATCCACCATGGCACATGTATACCTATGTACCAAACCTGCACATTCAGCACACATATCCCGGAACTTAAAGTTAAAAAAAAAATGGTTCAGTGATGCTGATAAGTGTGGGAGAGATGAATAATTGCAGCATAGTACATTTCATGTATGATGAAGTAAGGATAGTTGCCTGAAAGTTAGGCCCAGGAGATAAGAGGATATGTTCTACATTTGAGGTGGGTAACAAAGGGGACTTGTAGGTAATGGAGGGCATCCTATTAAGATGCAAAAACATGTTGGGTTGTTGGTATAGGAGACCTGGGATGCAGTTAAAATGGCTGTATTTTGTGATATAAACTTTCTTAGAATAGCCTACATGAGTTTATATTGCTATCAAAGCTTTAATCTACATAAATAATCTAAGGTTACCAATATCAGAACTTCAAAGCATAGAGTGAAATTCAGCCATATAGCCATGTTTTTGGAAACTGGTTTACCTAGAAATGTAACTGGAAATGGCTGCTTGAGATGGTTAGTTTAGAATAGGAAAAGGGAGGAAATTAAATTATGTGCCCATTGGATTTGAGGAACATATTAATATCTTACTGAAGAAGTGTAATTAAAGAAGAATTATGTAACTGATGCTCCTGAGCTAGAAGAACTAAAAAGCCAGGAATTTGCAGCAGCAAATGGGGGTACCAAAAATCACTGGTGGAAAGGGTAGATTAAAGGTGGCTTTAGTATTTCTTCTGATGAGCTGAGTGGGCATTGGCTGTTTGGGTGCTGT